GGGACGCCTGCCACAGCATGGCTTGATAGGTGGTGTGTAGGTCCGCGCCCAGGATCCGAACCTGCACCTGTGAACTCTGGACCACGGAAGTAGAGCACGCGAACTTAACTGCTATGCCACCAGGCTGGGCCCTGAGATTCACTCTTAAAATAGTATCTTATTTTAACTGCTTCTGAGGACTGAAAAGGCTAAAGAAGCTTATTACTGACATTATTATTATTATGAACAAGACTGTTTCTACATGGTTCAAATCACTGCTTTGGCTTGCTGCTGTACACACAGGCTAGAAATTTCCACAGTGCCTAAATTGTGTTACAACCTGTGGCAGGTTAAATCAGTGAATAATCAATTCAGGACTCTTTCATATTGATCAGCACTCTGATAAATTTTCTGCTGTTTGGGAGAAAATCATCTAGGGGCTCTGGAGGTGTCAGCTGTAATACCAGTGAAAAGTACTGTATTATGTATCAGAAGGATCCTCACAAAACCTCCATTTTAAGCTTTGAATGCAGGTACTCTCCTTAGGCAACAAAATGGCCCATGTCTCTCTCCTCCTCTTTCTAAAAGCAAGGCCCAGTGTATTGTTTCCACTTTTGATATAGTTAGGATGATCAGTGTCTAACATGTCCTACTAAACCCCACTGTCAATGACACTGCGGTGTTACTTTCTAATTTAGAACATGAATTACACTTTCTCAAAATATGTCAGCCTGAGTTTCACAAAATGAGACTCACAAAATCTTAAAAGCTAGAAGAGAATTTAGAAGGCATTTTGTCCAAATGAGCAAATAAACTGGGATAAGGGTATCCCCAGGGCACATGCAGCAGTGTCCAGGGGATACCAGGTGCCATAGAATAAACCTGACAACTCCTAGGAGGGTCAATTTTACACAAATATTTTTGAATAGAGATTTAGCTACTAAACAAAACATTTTTATATGTTGATATGTGCTGGGGACACTTCACATTCTTTGGCTCTCAAGTTAGAGAATCAACGTTTGACTAGATGTGGAAGTCCCATTTACATGATGAGGACGTGATAATTATAATGATGGCTACCATTTATTGAGCACTTACTATATGCTAGACATTGTTAGAGCTTTACATACATTATCTCATCCAGTCCTCATAACATTATCAGATAATAGTAATAATATAATTGTTTCCATTATACAGAGGGTGTTAAAAAGGTGAAAAAACTTTTCCATGGTCACCGAGCTTGTCAATAGCAGAGTTGGTGTCTGGTCCCAAGGGTGTCTGGCTCCAAAGCCTGTGATCTTAATTGCTGTCTCAGAAATTTGAAATTGAGGCACAGGAACTCTAATCAGTCTTGAATTGGAAGATCCTTAACCAAGTCACGTATTGTTCTGTCCCTCAGGTCTTCCCAGCTATAAAATTAGAACAATATCTATCCCTTCCTTCATCATAATGAGGATCCAGAAGCTCATGGGATACATATGCTTGTAGCATCCTATTTTAGAGCCGAAAACAACCTTGGTCACACAAAAACTTGTAAATGAATGCTTCTGGCAGTCTTATTTATAATAGCCCAAAAGTGGAAACGACCAAAATGTCCATCAACGATGAATGGATAAACAAAATGTGTTATATCCATACAATGAAATATTCTTCAGCCGTAATAATGAATGAACTATTGATATATGCTACAATGTGGATGAACTTTGGAAACATTATGCTAAGAGAAAGAGGCCAGTCACAAAGAGTCACATATGTATGATTCCATTTATATGAAATGTTCAGAACAGGCAAATCCATAGAGACAGAAAGTAGATTAGTGGTTGCCGGGGGTCAGAAGGAATGCAAGTGACTGCTAATGGGTACAGGGTTTCTTTTTCTGGGGCAGTGAAATGTTCTATAGCTAGGTAGTGGTGAAGGTTGCACAACTCGGTGAATATACTAAAAACTACTGAATTGCACACTTTTAAAAAGTAAATGTGGCGGCTGGCCCAGTGGTGTAGTGGTTAAGTTTGCGCGCTCCACTTTGGCAGCCCAGGATTCGTGGGTTCAGACGCCAGGCGTGGACCTATGCACTGTTCATCAAGTCATGCTGGTGATGTCCCATATACAAAATAGAGGAAGACTGGTACAGATGTTAACTCAGGGCCAATCTTCCTCACCAAAAAAAAAAAAAAAAGCGCTCTTTCCCCCCTGCCAAAATAACCAAAAAAAAAATAAATGTGAATTATATCTCAGTAGATCTGTTATTAAAAAAAAAAGAACCTTGGACACCATGAAGCAAAGGAAATACATTTTAAAATACTTTGGACAAAAGCATTAAAGAAATATTGTACTACATTTTAGATATTACACATTTCATGCTTATAAAACATGCTATATACATTGTAAGAAAAGCATCATCTTCTACTATCTCTGCTGGTTGTTAGTTTGTCCTAGGAGAATCTTAATTCACTTCAAAGTATTCAACTCCTCTAGTTCATGAATATCCAGTTAACAAAATGCAATCTAAACTGGCTACTGATGGAAACCCCAGGGGCTTGTCCTGTTTAAAAAGAGAAAGGGAAAAAAAGCCACAAAACTCACTAAGGGCCTACATTCAAGGCCAGAGAGGATAACAAGAATCTAGATCTAGTGGCAATGTTATCCTCCTATATTCTTTTGGGAGCATCATATCAGGATTTTCTACAGAGAAATCAGGCAAAGGAACCTCAACTATAAAGACATTGCTTTAGTAAAATAACCATCCCCCAACAAACCCTTACCTTCACATACTGCTTAACATAAACATGTTATTTCATTTTCATTTCAACAGTACGCGCATGAGGTACCAATTTTTACCCCTATTTTAAAGACAAGGAAAGTGAGGCACAAACAAGGTCACCCAGTTAATGAGAGGCAGAGTCAAGATTCAACATGCATCTAAATTCCAAGCTCTGTGCTCTCTTGCTGTGTCATGCTAATATTTGCTTTCTCCCTTCCTCACTCTTGGCCACCTATCTTTCACCAGATCAGAAAGCAGAGTTGAGTCTGCTTCTGCCCACGTTACATCGTAACATAAACTTAGTCCCCAAGAAATAATTTCCCCTTTAATTGTTTTGTTTTGTCCTAGTCCTTTCATAAGTCTCCATAAGAAACGCTTGCTCAGAATAAGTATTAAATAAATGTTTTTCAACAAATCAATCTATCTGGCCAGGCCTATCTGGTTAGTTTAATCTTTCATGAATAATGAATGAAGACTCAAAAACCTTTACAAGAATAGAGATTCCCTTCCTAGTTGCTGAAAAAGGTTTTAGAATTGAGTCAAAATGCTGTTACTGAGCTAGCCCTGGAAATGACTTCTTGAAGAACTGTCCAACTCTTCCTTTCCAGCCAATCAAAGGGCAATTTGATTCCCTAGATGGGAAGCCTGCAGACAAGATCTTTAGCTTTACCTGTCACCTGAATTCTCACCTTTCACGTACATTCTGATATTTCCAGCAACTAGCTATTTTCCAGGTTATTAGGCATCTTTTTCTTTCTCTTTCTCTGTTTCCTTCTTTCCTTCCTGCCTTCTTCCCTTCCTCCCTCCCCTTCTCCCCCACTTTTCCCTTGGTCTTTACCTCTCCCCCCCCTTCTATTCTCTCCTTCTTCCTCTGCCTTTCTCTAGTGGTAGCATTTACTTCACACTTCCTTGTGAGGCATGAAGGTTTTGACCAGTCTCAGAGAACCCATGGGAAGCAACTATGACACAAACTAGTGAAACAACTTCATACAGTGTTACCCATCGAATTAGTGAAGCACCAAGAATTTACCATACACTGCTCTAGCTAAGCCTTTCCCAAAGACCTAAGCACGGAACACTGACCTGGCAGACAAGGGCAGTGCTCTCATTTGTGCTTAGGGATGAGATCAGAGCAGAAGTTCTTTTTTCCTCTGGTAACTGAAGAGTTAGCAGTTTTACTTTCAACACATAAGAAGGATTGAGGTATAATAGTAAATCCAGCTCTTAATTTTCAAAAGTAGGTGGATTTAGAGACCAGGGCATTAACAACATTCCTGCATTTGTTAAAAAGGTACGTTCTGTATTTAAATTAGATTTCCACCTATTCAGTCCTCAAACTCCTTTTTTGCAATCATTTTATAGTCTTGACCTTGGTTAATTAATTACTACTTCCATGACACCACTCTATAAAGGTACAAGTAAAGAATTTTTACTTAACGTAGAAATAAAGAAAACACATTTTAAACACAGATATACATACCTCCTTTCATATTTAAATAATATTAAGGAATGTACATCCACAAATGTAACATCAATGAAAATCATTTTCTCTAGAAATTTTCCCTAAGCTTTTCAGTTTAAAGACGGTACCATTTAATATTTGAACTAAATGCATTAACATAATTCTACCAATGACAGACTTTCTCTAGGTAAGGAATAGACTTTTAGAGCTATAAAGAATGTCAGAAATCAGTAAGCACAACTCTTTCATTTTAAATATGAGAAAATTCCCAAGTTAAGTGATTATCAAAATCTCATAGCTGACTAATGACAGGCAAGAAGCTTGGCTCCTGACTCCTGGTTTGGCACAGCTAAAGTTCTTGCAGGTGAAAAATACTTAACTTGTTGATATCAACACCAAAGACAACAAAAAAATCACAACTACTCTTACCATATATATGACTGACATTACACAGAAGCTCCGCTTCAACTTTTAGTATCTTACACCATAAATTCTTAACTTGTGACTCACCCTGCTAAGTTGATCCAATAACCTTTGGTTCTGTTCTGATAATTCCTGGACAGCCCGTGTTTTTTCTCGATCTGCTTCCCGTAGATGAACTTGCTGCCTCTCCAGCTCATCCTGAAGCTGTTTCACATCACTCTCCAGCTCTGAGACGCGCCCTTCCCACTCCCCTTCTCGGTTCTCAAATCGTCTCCTTAGTTCGTGTTTTTCTTGTTCTAAGTGCTGGGTGAAAAGTGAAGAGGATTTAAAAACTGTTAAAAATTCCACAGCCTTTCATTTTTTTCTCTTTTCACGCTCTCCTAACTTTTCTTTTTCCCAGTCACTCAGCACAATAAAACATGCTGCCACATAGGAAAAGTTGCCCCCTTCACAGCTACAAAAACATTCCCTTCTTTCAGAGCAGGGAAGGAGTTGGTTTTAAAAGGAGAATGCCATTCCTACTGAAAGCAATTAATGTTACTGTGTTTATTCTTGTCCTTGGACAGGGGGTTCTAGAGTTAGGAATTCACTTGAAATTGAGCAAGTCATCCATTAATTGGTGAATTACACATTTAAACAACTTAAAATGAGTTCTTAAGAAGGCTTCTTTTGCAATCATCTATTGTGCCTCGCATAAGACCAAGCACTTAGAATCACAGAATTTTCCGAGACAGAAAGAACTCCAGAGATCCTTCAGATTAGCCATCTTTTCTTACAAATGAGGCAACAGAAAATAAGAGGTTAAGTAACAAGCTCAAGGTCAATATTAGTAAATGGCAGAGCTGGGATTTGTGTCTAAGTCATCTGACTCTGTTTAGTGCTCTAAATCACAACTCAATAAATATTTGTCACTATATATAGCACTGTATTTCAAAATCATTAAGGCAGGTTCAGGCCTACTTTAAATCATGGCCTATTAGCCTTGCATAGTTATTTCTGATCCATTCATTCATTCCTCAGTGCCTACCATGGGGCCAGCCACTGCGCCGGGGGACATGATGCGCAAAAGAGACATGGCCCTTGCCTTTATGAAGTTTTCATTCTAGTGGGAGTGGCTGAAATAAGTTGTGTGACAAATGGTATGCAGGAAAAGTACAGATGGTTTGAAGCAGCAGCTCAACAGAAAAGAATTCTTTTGAACTGAAGAAAGTAAGAACATCTTTTTGTTTCTGTGAGGTAAGCACGGATGTCTCTTTTTCAGAGGCAAGTATGTTCTCGTACTTAAAAAGCAAAGTATACACAAAAAAGCCAAGTTTATACCTCAAGGAGTATATGAAATATAAGTTCAAGAAATGGTCCTCAACATGTGGTGCTCTCAGAAAAGCTCTGGTATAATTGTTCAAAATATACTCACCTAGACCCTAATTTCAAAGACTGTGATTCAGTTAAGAATGGGTGGGGCCTAGGCATGCATCCATCTATCTGTCTGTCTGTCTGTCTATCTGTCCATCCATCCATCCATCTATCTTGGTTCTACAGGAAATTATGATGCACTGAAGGTTGATATCAAGCACTGAGATTGTTTCAACAAGCTAAGATAAGCATGTGAATCTTCTCCTTTATAGTACTCAGTCATCTCTTCACCTTGGGAAGCTATGTTCTTACTCTATCCAAGTTCTCACTTTTCAAAAATTTTTTCAAAAGCCTTAAGGGCCAGTGCATAGTTATACAAGAAAATCAGTCCCATTACTTCATATCTGAGATGTTTCTAAAAAAGAGATTATCCCATTTCATCTTGCCATCTTATTCCTCCTACTTTGCTCTGAGTGACTTGTGAATTTGCTCTGAGTGACTTCTGAATGTTTCTGAATGTTGAATTTACCCCCCAAAAATGAAAATATACCACAACAGAGCAGTCCAAATAATGTGGCAAAACATAAAAACAGTGATCCAAAATTAAAATTCTGAGCACATTACCAAAGGTGGTTTTCACTGAAATAAATGTACAGCTCCCCAAGTTGACCACTTTAAGGGAATAACTCATTTGGATATAGCCACTCTAGTATATTTGTTGAAAAAGTCACATTATAGTTATACTTTATACAGACTCAGTTTGGAGCATGTGGGAAAAGGAATGACAAGAGAGGGAATTCGACTCACGAGCATGAGAATTTTCTGCTCTATACTTTCTTCATATTGCTAAACTCCCCAAAATGAGAATGTTTTAGTCACTGTAGAAGCTTCAGAAAGATGAAATACAGAAACAAATGCTAATTGCAATCCTAAAATTGTGATACTTGGTTTTACTGACTTTTTCCAAAATGAAAAAGATTGAGCAGAAGGCAACAGCAAGAATTCAGTAATCACAGTGTTACTGAGAGGCCAGATAAATTAGGCTATGTTCTAAAAGAACAGAGAGACTTAAAAATATTCAGCAAACAGCTGTTAGTGAACAGCCCAACCAAGCAACTAAAACAATCCCATCCACTTGCGGGGGGGGGGGGGGGGGGGGTGTTGAGGACAGGTGGTGCTGATCAGTCTATTCTGTCCTTATACTTCCTTGGACATGTGACAATTAGGACAATCCTAATTCACGCGTCCCAGCACTTTGAAAAAAAAAATGAAGACTTTCCAACGAACATTCAGAATTTAGCCTTTTGTCTACACTGAGAAAAGAAAGGTTTCTCCTAGAATTATATTTTCAATTAAGTGCTAAATTAACCAGTAAACTCTAGGCAGAATATCAGGAAGTGTGGAGGTCAGGCTCTGCCCATGCTATTCCTTGTTTCTCAGGGTTATATGTTATTTTAAAGTTAATATCTACACCTGAAACTAATATAATGTTATCCGGCAATTATACCTTAATAAAAAAAAAGTTAATATCAAAACTGTCAAGGTCATCAAAAAGAAGGAAAATCTAAGTAACTGTCACAGCAAAGAGGAGACTAAGAAGATATGAAAACTAAATGTAATGTGGTATCCTGGATGGGATCCTAGAACAGAAAAAGACATTAGGTAAAGGCTAAGGAAATCTGAATAAACTAAGGACTTTAGTTAATAATAATTGTATCAATATTGGTTCCCTAATTATGGCAAGTGTACCACATTAATGTAAGATGTTAATAACAGAGGAAACGGTGCAGGGCATATGGAAACTCTCTGTGCCATCTTTCAACTTTTCTGTAAATCTAAAACCATTCTAAAAAAATAAAGTTTATTTAAAACTCTGAAAACACAAAAGTTAATATCATTAGCCTACCTAAAATTGGTTGTTAAAAGTATAGATTTCTGCAAAGAACCAAAAAGCAACACCATTCTCATAAATCCAGCATACAGTTCTGGAAAAATACAAAGAAAAAGCACTATTTTTTAAGTGGACTGAGCACTGAATGCATATAAGGACTTCTGGGTTTGTTTCCCTAAATCTACTAGTGACTCCCACCATGTAATCATTTTCATCTTACTTGTTCTGCCCTCTTCAAAAAATGGTACCAGAATCATGAGAATTGGCCTACGAAAGGGGGAAGAAAATGTAATTGAAGAAAAAGACTATCTCTGCAGTAAGAGATAATTCACTCTTAGCTGGAATGGGAAAAAAGGGGATCCTGTACATTAAAAACAATGATTTTTAAAACTAAATAAATATTTAATCTCTAAAGAAAAAAGTGTATAAATGCAAGTTATTGTCTTATTTCATATTCTGGGGAAAAAACTAAGGACCTGGCTGGATATAAGTTTTAAAAGCAAAAGGGCTAACTGTAGATGCAGAAGAAATAAATTTTTTAAAATGTGTTTAGAACTTTAAGCATATAAAAATCTGATTCAGTGAATGAATAAAATACAACACAGTCAATTTAAGGGTGGAAAAAAATGACCAAAACCTTACAGTCTTTCAAATTAAACTGAATCTTCACTTTAGCCCTCTTCATTTTAAGAGATGTATAGCTACCAAACTTCTATGTTAACCTTTAAACCATTAAAGACTTTAAAGAGTGTGCCTTGAATGAGAAAGCAGTGTAAGATCAAGTACTTTATGTTTTAAACGATAAAACAAAATCTTGGGTTTGGCACACAGACCTGGCAAGATATTCAATATTAACTAATGAATAGGTAGAAATATAGATCTTGAAAATGGCTAATTGGTCCTGAAGTTAGACAGGTGCCAATTTTTTTTTTTTTTTTTGTGAGGAAGATCAGCCCTGAGCTAACATCTGCCAATCCTCCTCTTTTTGCTGAGGAGGACCAGCCCTGGGCCAACATCCATGCCCATCTTCCTCCACTTTATATGGGACACCGCCACAGCATGGCTTGACAAGCAGTATGTCGGTGTGCGCCCGGGATCCGAACCGGCAAACCCTGAGCCACCACAGCGGAGCTCGAGCACTTAACCACTTGCGCCACCGGGCTGGCCCCAGAAAGGTGCCAATTTTGTAGTAGTAAGGAAGCAGATGGGACTAAAACAAAACCAGTCTCATTATTTAATAGTCAAACCAACATTCTCTCAGACTCCACTCATGCCTTTATCTTTCAAACCAACCTGTGAGAAAATGTGTTTGACTCCACTGTCTGACAGTTTGTGGAAAATTACAAACGCTTTTTAAAGTAAGGGCTGGTTCTCTACTCCTAAATGTTTAATTTAATTGAAAATATATCAGCGTGGCTGTGTTAAACTCGAGAAAGTATTTTGTCTAAACAGACATTCTAAAATCTAGGCTGCTTAAAAAATATATGGTGGGGGAGGGCTGGCCTCGTGGCTTAGCGGTTAAGTGCCCGAGCTCCGCTACTGGCGGCCCGGTTGGGATCCCGGGCCCGCACCCACGCACTGCTTCTCCCGCCATGCTGAGGCCGCGGCCCACATACAGCAACTAGAAGGATGTGCAGCTATGACATACAACTATCTACTGGGGCTTTGGGGGAAAAATAAATAAATAAAAATGAAAAAATATATATATATGGTGGGGGAAATTCACTTGCAGGTATTAATTGAAATATCCCGTTAATCAGGTTTGGCACTCTAATAATAACACTAAAAGAATTAACAAGGAGCCAATGACATTATCTTTGTAAGATATTTTTAAATGTATGTTTAAAAAAAACCTAAAAATTTTTTATGATAATTTTTAAATACACCTAGAAGAAATAGTATAACTGAATCCCCCCATCACTCAGCTTCAATAATGATCAATACTTGGCTTTTTAAAAATAACCTTTAAAAAATGTTGCTTTTTTAATTGTGGTAAAGTATACATAAAATTTACCATCTTAACCATTTTTAAGTGTACAGTTCAGTAGTGTTAAGTATCTTCACACTGTTGGGCAACAAACCTCCAGAAATCAAAAATAAACTTTTAACACCAGAGTTCATGTGCTGACCTGCTGAGGTGTGAAGATTTAAAAAAATAAGAGCTTTAAACTATTTTATTATTGTCTATTAACTCAAGACAAAAAGTCAAAGGAAACTTACTCTTTTATAACACAAACTTTTTTGTTATAGAATTTTGAAATCTTTTTCCTCTGTTGAAGAAATGTATAAAGGCTCCACATGGAACCCAGGATGTGTGTAATTGCATACTCAGGATTATTCTGAAAGCTGTCACTAATCAAACTGACTGATATGATGTTCCTTTCAAGTTAGGTGTCTCTTCAATCATGTCCCTCACTGAAGGAATTTAAATCACACGTATAAATCTCTGCAGTTGTACTTCTATATAGAGTCGTGTAATCCAATCTCTTTTTGAAAAAAAAAAACCCTTTCATTTCAAGACCTCCACTTCAAATGAAAATTAAACAGTTCAATTCATTGGGTTGCTTTTTGGCAGTCTACCTATAGGTTTCACAAACCACTTTTCAAAGAGGTATCTCGGGAGTTCATCGACTGGCAGACCTAGTGAACAGGCCAACTGAACTACAGGGCACTCACTGGTTTCCTTTTTTCTCTCTGATTTACTTTTGATATGTTAGACTACAGACACACTTAACTCTTATTCTAGAAAAGTTTTTGAATCTACATTCTGACAGTTCAACCAGTAGCAGTGATATGGTATCAGACTAGGGTCAGTTTCAGATGTCATTCAGGACTGTACTATCCTCTTGTAACTAAGAATAAAAAGAACTGTTCGCAACCAAACTGGGTAACAATAGTAAACGCACAGGCAGAAAAGGATAAGCTCGTCTCCACTGCCATAGATACTCTCCTCTCCTTTTTAAAATCTCCCTAATTTTTAGATATGCAGCATTCCGTACTACTTTCAAGGCCCTTTCTAGTTAAGGGCAACAGAACAAACAGGGATAGCTCCAAAAGACTTTGGTCCAGAAAATTAGCAGAAATCTTACAATACTTTAAAGGGTATTTATAATAATAAAGTAACATGGTTCTCATAGGTTGCATTTGGCCATCCAGTTGCATGTGTGAGGCCCAGAACACAGAAAAGTACTGTTTAAATACACATGAATACTGGGGTCCAAATTAAATCCACTACCAATGGTCACATGCTGAGCCCAGGCTCGCCTGATTTCTGCAATGGAACCACATTTCCTAATCCCTGAGTATTTGAAGGCTACATAAAGCTCCTTTAGGGGCACTTGTTTCCCACAACTCTGAGCTCCCGGGAAGTTAAGACAAGGGCATCTGGAGGCCTTAACGACAGAACTGGAAAGCTCCAGGCTAACACCCTGATTAGAGATTAACCACTCCGAAAACCGGGAGTGTATTTTAAATGCTTTCCGACGTTCTCATTTCTCTGCGTGCACACAGCACCTCAATGCTGTATAAATTAGTCATACTGTAAGCTCTATTTTAGATGCTGTGTACAGTACATATATAGAACGGCCCACAGCGCTTGGAGGTGTGCATGGACCCATTTCCTGCGAGCAGGGTGAGAAAGTCAGGTGGGTTCAATGGATGCCTTGGTCTGATAATCCGAAACCCTCCATCCTACCCCCCTTCCTAGGCGGTTTTCTGTGAGGGAGGGTGAGCAAAGAAGGAAGGGGTGGGGCGAGTGGCTCCCGAAGCTGCCCAGGGCCGGGCGGGGGGTGCCTGGGTTCCCTCTGCTTCCTACCCATCCCAGAAGGGACGTCCTCACCTCCAGCTTATCCGTCAGCTCCTTGTGCATCTGCTCGTACTGCCGGCTCATGTCCTGGTTCCTCTCGAGCAGCGCCTTGCCCAGCCGGGCCGCCAACACCAGATCCTTCTCCTTCTGCCGAATCACGGACAGCAGCTCGGGATCCTGGGCGGGCGGCGGCTGCGGTCCGGCCCCCTCGGCCGGAGGCCCGAGATCGGCCTGAGGATGCTCCCCGGGGTCGGACGGCCGTTCCCCGGCCGCCAGCAGCGCCAGCTCCTCCTCTAACGCCAGTTCCAGCTCCCCGGGGCCCCCGGTGAAGGAGATGAGGGCGGCGGCGGCGGCGGCGGCGGCCGGACTCCCGACTGCGTCCGCGGCCGCGGCGGGCAGCTCCATGCAGCAGGCGCTGTCCGGCTCGACGGGTGCTGAAGCGCGGCCGGCCAAGCCCAG